CAGCAGCAGCAGCAGCAGCAGCAGCAGCAGCAGCAGGGATTAGAGTAGCAGAAGAAACAAGGACAGCAGCAGGTGCACTAATAACAGCAGCAGCAGCAGCAGCAGCAGCAGAAGCAGCAGCATTGAGAGAAGCAGCAGCAGCAGTAACAGCAGAAAAGGATACACAAGAAAGGAGACAGAAGAATAAAGGAGACAGAAGAAAGAGAAAGGAGACAGAAGAAAAAGAAAGGAAACAGAAAAAGAAAAAAGGAGACAAAAGAAAAAAGGAGACAAAAGAAAAAAGGAGACAGAAAAAGAAAAAAGGAGACAGAAAAACAAAAAAGGAGACAGAAGAAAGAGAAAGGAGACAAAAGAAGAGACAAAAGAAAAAAGGAGACAAAATAAAAAAGGAGAGAAAAAAAGGAGACAGAAGAAAAGGAGACAGTTTTACTTTATAAGCAACAGTATGGGGTATGCATTCTTCTATTTGCTGCTGCGTCTGCGGCAGCAGCAGCGCTGCTGCTGTCTCCTCGTTGTTGCTGCTGAGGTGAGAGAGGCCGAGAGCCAGAGCAGCAGGGGCCCCCAGGAGACTAGCATCAACACCACCTGCATGCGCATGGTTGCTGCTGCTGCTGCTGCTGCTGCTGCTGCTGCAGAAACCACCCTGCTGCTGCTGCTGCTGCTGCTGCTGCNCTGCTGCTGCTGCTGCTGCTGCTGCTGCCCCTTCAGCTGGCAGCAGCCCCATGGAGACAGCAGCAAACGTGCATGCTCCTCCCCCAGCACGAGGGGTTGATGGTGGGTCCTACCAGCCCCTCCTTCTCCTGCTGCTGCTGTTGCTGCTGCTGCTGCTGCTGCAGTAACCAGAGAAAGACAACGCTGCAGCGGTGTCTCGTCTTCTTCTCTTTTGCTGCTGGCGCGGCCCCCCCACGGCCAGGGGGTTGTTAGGTTAGCCACCAGCAGCAGCTCAGACCTCCACGCCTTCACTTCCTCTCTGCTGCTGCTGCTGCTGCTGCTGCTGCTGCTGCTGCTGCTGCTGCTGCTGCTGGGGGAGGAGGAGGCCAGACGGCCCGCCCAGACAGCTCCCAAGGCCCAAGCAGCACTGAAGGCGTAGACGTGTCTTTCCTGGAGATGTAGCTGCTGCTGCTGCTGCTGCTGCTGCTGCTGCTGCTGTTGCTGCTGCTGCTGCTGCTGCAGCCACGGGGGACGCAGCAAGTGCTGCAGCAGCGTTGCAGTGGTGGAGGGGTCCCCGGAGCCAAAGTGCAGCAGGCCGAGGCCGACGAGTGCTGCAGCTGCTGCAGCCCCGCTGCTGCTGCTGCTGCTGCTGTTGCTGCTGCTGCTGCTGCTGCTGGTGCTGCTGCTGTTGAATACAGCAGCAGAAACAAGGGGAGCAGGAGACAGATGAAGGAGACAGAGACGATGGAGACCTGTGTTGCTGCTGCTGATGTTGCTGCAGCAAGCAGCAAGCAGCAACCCCACCAGCAGCGTGCTGCTGTCTCCTGGGGCCCCCTGCAGCAGCAACACCCAGTCTGCTGTTTTCAGCTGCTGCATGTATCCCTGAAGAGACAAACCAAGACAGAGACCCCCAAACGCAGACGGAGACACCTTCTCCTGCTGCTGCTGCAGCCAGCTCCATAGCGAATCATACCCCGCATCCTGCTGCTGCTGCTGCTGCTGCTGCTGTTGCTGCTGCTGCTGCTGTCTTAAGACGCCAGGCGATGTGCTGAATCCTGAGCAGCACCTACTGCTGCTGCTGCTGCTGCTGCTGCTGCTGCTGCTGCTGCAGCAGCTGTTTCCCCAGCAGCAGCGAGTTCTTCGTGCTGCTGCTCCTCGGTGGGGGTGGGGCCCCGCAGCAAGAGCAGCAGCACATGCGCTGCTGAAGGTAGGCCAGGCGAGGTTGTCTGCTGCTGTTTGCATGCGCAGCAACTTTTGCTGCTGCAGCTGAGGAGACTGAACGTAGACATAACGAGCAGCACTGCCTCGGCCTGCTGCTGTTGCTGCTGCTGC